AGTTACGGAAAGTTAATTAACAAACGGAGACGTAACAATACCATGACAAATCACTGATAAATCCATGATTGCTGTAGTGTAGTGCAATGATAATGGTAAAAAAGAATGGAGTTGTCAGTGCTTGAAACAGTTTGAGGCTCAAGTAAACCAGTTTGCATATCATCATTGTCATCAACACAAGAATATAGCTCAATATTGTCAACCTCACAAGCTTCACATTCATTGCCAGCATTAAAGAGAGAATGAGATGGTAAATGAGTTGTGTCATTAACAGTGACACAAAAAAGAAGCAAATTTTAAAGAGGAGCATGTACATTCAACTGTTATGAGTTAGTGATTGTTATACTATTGCGCCATTTCACTAGAGCTTTCTCACTTTTTCTCGTTGTTTAAATTGAGTATTATTGCATCAGAACATCTAGTATTGCATGGAATGTTCAAGACTTCTGTCTGGTTATAAGTACACGTCAAAAAATTATTATTTAGATTTAGACTGCATGATTGTGAGTTTAGTGATGAGCGTATAACAGTGATTTTTGTAATTAAATCATCACAGACTGTATTATAATAACAGAATAGAGAACAGTAATTCGTCTTGTCAATTGTGTTTGAATGTAATTGAACCAACCTGTGTGGACTTTGACGAAATGAGACAATTATTTCAAGCTCTAAATACGACTGTGATAACCAACAGTGTAACGAAAATTTGTATATATATTTGACTTGTTGGAATATATTATTTTAAAACCAGTGGACTGTGTTATTGTTTATTTATTGTTGAAATCTATTGCCAACAAGTCACAGGCATCTACTATAAGAATCTGGCCTAAAAACCTGACAGCAGTAATATAGTTTTGGGGTTCCAATTACAAAGTGTCAACAGAAGCCATTGCATGTGACTATTTCAAGCCAAAAAATGCTAATACTTCTTCAGAAGAATGTAGACTATGTAGAAAATGTTAAGATCCTGGTCATTGAGAAACACACCCTTGGGACTGCCATGTGCACTTTTTAAAAAAGTATCAGAAATAAATGGAAAAGTACACAATAGGTGTAAAATGGCAAGAGCAACTTTCAGAATTCAAAAACTCTTCTGGTCAGGAGCAATAGGCAACAATGATTGGCTACCTCCCGACTTAGGAAATATTAGTTATTTTAGTTCCAATGATGTTATTAATCAATTTCAATGCATAATTAGTGAGAATAAACATGTTTCTAGTTTTCTTCTAGCATGTCTTCAATCTCAATGTTAAAATCTTGTAACAAAACACTCTCTTCAGGACAAATTTCCATAAGAACATCTTGTTCTGCCTCTTCTAAATACTGCTCTGTATCTCTGGCTCCATTTTTATCATGAGCTCATTAATTTTAGCAATTGAAATGTCAAATTGCTCAACCAAATCATACTTCAAGATACCATCTTGAAGAATTTGATGTGCTATGTCCACCAAAACTCTCCTGCTCTTATCATGATGTCATAACTCATATAAATCATTCAAAGCCAGTAATTTTCCATGTGACTAATTGCATTTAGAATTCCCAGGATATGCTGCCTATTCTTTTTGGACAATGCTTGACTTGAGCATTTCTTTCATTTTGAAAACAAATTCTGTGCTGTTGGGAGGTTCTTCTATCTCAATGCCAGCAATGTCAACGGCTCTTTTGAAGATCGTCCCCCCCCCCCAGCATTCTCTCGACTCTGATCTGGCCGTGTCTCAGTATTGGAAAGTTCAGGTCGGACTACCAGAGGTGGCTTTTCTGAAATGAAGTGTCACTTAATTAAAACATTCAGCATTTGCTTCATATATTTCATTAGTTTCTCGAGTTTGACAATTTCGGGACTTGCTACATCTGAAGCCTGAATAATTTGAACATGATCTTTGAACCATTTGACATTTTACATTGATCTGCTTCCAGTTTTGGCAGTATACTTGTATGAAGTAACAGGTCCCTTAAGACCACTTGCATCCAAAAGAATTGCAGTTGTTCCTGCAAAGCCACCTTGAAATGAAAGTGCAAAATAAATCCCTTCTTCCAATGTGATGCCATTTCTATCCTCCAAGTGCACATTAAGAGCTATATTTACGAGCGCAAATTGCATGTCCAAGCGCGTATTTCCTGTTTGTGCCTCTGTATAGACCCATCTGTCCAATTGTAATGACTCTTCTGCATTGTTGTTACCCTGAAGCTCCTTGGTGAGCTGGTAAATGTACAGAATAAGCTTTTACGACGTAAATTCTGTAATGTTATCACTATGTAATGTCACGTGACGAACATCTGGAAAGATTCGTAAACGGTTACGTAATCAAATCTGCAATAAATTATAGCTTCTAAAAATACTAAATTTAATACTCGTGCTTTATAATTACGTAAATCACAACTCTCGAATTAAATTTAAATGAAACAGTCGTGTATATCTAAAACTTATTATGTAATTATATTTTCTTCTTTAAGGTTTTACATTTGTAAAGTGATTTAATGAAAAACAGTTGGCTTAATGTTATAACTTATACTTCTTGATAAATCTTCGATACCTTTGTTTCACAAAAAAATATAATTTTTATAATACCTTATTTACCAATAACTAAAAATACGCGTGGAACATACTTTCAGATCAATATATAATGATTGAGGAAAACCTTAATTTGTTATTACTTTAAAAAAAAAAGAAGAAGAAGTTAAATGTTTGTTTTTGGATATTCGTGAAGAGATACACAAGGGCTATCTGCCCTAGCCGTCCATAACTTTGAAAAATTAGACTAGATGGAAGATAGCTAGTCCACAACACTCACCGACATCTCTTGCCTAACGGAATAGTGTGATTTTATTGTCACCTTTATAAGACACACACGGTCCTGAAGTGCAGATCGCGATTTTCTTTCATTCCTTTTTTTTTTTTTTTTTTTTGTTCTAACGGGACGTAAAGATTGGACCCCCAGATCCATACTCCGGCATGCTAACCATTGGCTCCCAAACAAGTATTAGCTCTGTGAAATAATCACTAAAAAAGGTATCCGCAAATTTACATATATAGCGATATTTGCAGGTTGAAATGATTTTAACAACATGGGTCTACAGAATAATGGAATATTCAACCAGATATTTATTAGGAAGTAATTGAGTTCTCCAGGAAGAAATAAAGCGACTGGTCACAATGGAAAAATCTTTATTAAATAATATATACACAGTTTGTACACTTGCTTAGGACACTGTACAATCGCTTTTACTGGATCGTAAGCTATTTACTCTTCAAACTGTATTGGTCGAGATTGTATACTAGTCTGTTTAAACCTTAAGTTACGTAATTTAGAGAAGTCAGAGCGAACTGGTACTACTCGTTTGATTGCTATGCACAAGAACATTAATTATATGCAGAACACCTTCGCAAAATTTACATGAATAAAAATATGTTCTCCCCAAAAATTAATATAGCTATTTTTAAAATATTACATGTACCATACCATAACATCAAACGAAAGGTTAAAAAAAATAAGAGCACAACTTTTTTTTTGTGCCGATTTCAGTATATTCTAAGGTATTTCATGTATGTTTAGTTTTCCTTTTCTTGAAAAAATATATCTTAAGTTTAGTGGGATCGTATGCCATTTCAGTACTGTGATCTGTATACCATGATTGATCCAATTTTAGTGATTTTTCCAATTCATTTTTATTAGAGCACTGCGATATGACAAATATATTTTTCAGAAACTGAGGCGAAAATCAATGTGCTACGCAAAGATGAAAACTCCAGTTTTGAATGCATTATAAAAAGAAAAATATCTGTTCATAAATAAAGCAAAAATGAACTAATGCAAACTCAATTAGAAATTATGAATTCATTGTTTGTTTGTCTTTTTGTATTTAAGCATAAAGCTTAACCCGGTTTCTAGCATTGTAAGTCCGCAGACATACCGCTGTGCTACTGGAGAGCTATTAATTCATATCAATCTATGTGCAACAGATAACAGTGTGCGAAACCAGTGTAATATGTACTCAAAAGTTTGTATTTACCCAGTTGAAGAGTACTGCCTATCTTAATGCTCAAAACACGCTTTTTGACATATATATGCGCCCTCCTACAGTAGGAACAATTAAAATTATTCAAAACTTAATTAAATGATCTTACCAATAATAAACTATCTTATTATCACATAAAAACACAAAAATGTCGCTTTTTATAGAATGTTTTACACTAGAAAAATGTGTGGTACTTAATGGAAAGAAATGTCTCTTTTTAGCATTCTGTTAAAGCTTCAGTTGGCATACGACAAATTTCCATGATTGAGGACGATTCTGTTTAATACAATTGTCATAATAAACACGAGAAACAAAGTACAAAGGGTTATTTAATGACCGAAATGTTCCTACTTAAAATATTAAAAGTTACTAATGACCAGTAAAACTACCGCATATACCAGAATTCTTAGTTATCTATCAATACTGTTAATTTTGAGGTGCTAATTTTTTTAATACTTGTTTTCTTGGTGGTACAATTATAGTTCAGAACCATAAGTAATAGCGCATAGTATAACAGAAAACTAAAATTAAAAGTTACTTTCCCAAGGAAAACACGGATCCTTTCATTCTCCTCTGTAATTCGGGTTAACGCGCAGGTAACATTTTTAATTTTAGAAAAATAACTAAGTTTAAAAATAAATTGTTTTGGTTGTTGTTATGCGCAAAGCTATACAATAGACCTTGCCCACAACGGATATCAAATCCCGAACTGTAGCGTCGTAAGCATGCAGACTGAATGCCAAACCACTACGGGCAATTTTTAATACTTAAATTCATTTTTCAACTATACTTTCAAATTTCCTGAAAACAATTGCTGAACATTCTTCTCCTTTCGTTATAAATCTCATTAACTTTGTATTAAAACAACGTACTTAAGTTCTGACCTTACAGAAGATATATAATTGTTAACAATTTACATACACACTAAGTACTGAGCATTGTATTTTGCCATTCGAAAATGGCCTTGGTATAATTTTAGTTTTAAGCATAGGGCATAAACTAAAACTGTGCAATTTCTACAAGATATTATATTTTTCTTCTTCCAAACGATTTTTTTTAATCAATCAACGAACGTCGACTTTGGTGTCTTAAAGGTATTATCAGCTGCATAATACACACTATTAAGGTTTGAAATATAAAATAAATGAATAAAAAAGTAATGATGATTTATTGGGAACATTGTAAACATCTATAAAATTCTTAGGGGCATAAAATTTTAAAAATTTAGTACTTGTCTTAGTTTTAGTACCCGTTCAGTTAAAATTAACATGTAATGAGTATTTATCTAATATGTAAAACAACAATGGCCACCAAATGGCATGTGAGGAACAAATAAATCAAATATTTTGAAACATTTCTAAATTAGGTCTTATTTTCACTGTGAGTGAAGCAAGAGAGGAGCATAATGTAAAGTATTAAAAATATTGATATAAATTAATAATAAAAACTTGTTGTTGGTATACTAAAACACAATCTAATGATCTAGTTATTCTGAGATTAAGTTAGTATTCACTTTGTAGTAAATATTTTAGAATTCAAAATACACCAATAGAAAGTTCCCATCATTCAGATGTTACTTCATAGTATCACATCAAAAAGTAATTATTTGCGAGTGTTATGAACTCAATGGTTCATCATTTACATCTGACCTATCATTTAGAGCTTGTAAAATGACTGTATATTCTTATTATAAATGAATTCTACTCAATTTTGATGTAACAGGTCATGTCATGTAACATTTATCTGACTTACAAAAAATACTCTAGAAACTCTCCTAAGTGAAGTAAACTTTTAGCCAGATTTTTCTACTATAAGCATGTCACATTCCTCAGATTACTAACCTTTTGAATGTTACATATCAGGGTCTGAAGTATGTGTTGTTTAGTTAGCCATGAACAGCCAGGAAATGCACAGCATGACTAGAATTTTAAGCATTTTTCCTTTTTACCTTGTCAGAATATATGTTTCTCTACTTCTTCTTAAACCACAGTTGTGCTTTCATCTCATAAAAGTATCTTTTTTACTTCAACCTCCCAAATGGAGCCAGTAGCTTTCTGGGGATTCCTGCCCTACTTTTTTTTAAAATAATGGTCTCTATGACATCTGAAATAAAAAGGAAGTTCCTGGAGCATGTGAATGGCAGGAATTATCCAAACGAAGTATGACAAATATTAACATCTCAATGGAGAAATATCTTACAATATGGTCAGTATTAAAATAGTAATCTAAGTCACATTATTCTTTTTTTTTGTTTATTTGGATTAATATGAAGATTATGTACATTCCAAGAGAGATATAATCAAAAACTGCCATTTCTAATTAAAGAGTTTTGTTTGATATTACACATATTTGCAATTGTGTCTTTCTTTAAAAAAAAATCACATCTGCATTCAATAAAATGGAATTAACATGTATATAAATGTTCTTGGTGTGGACCAGTTAGAATTTTTGTGAGGGAATGGTTAGATATTTTCCCAGTTTTAGACCCTGTTACATATGCATTACAAACAATTATAAATTTATTCCACAGAAAGCACAGCATCACGTAAAGCTGATTTTTCTATTTTTTTACCTATCTGTAATTTGTAATTTTGTATGCAGATGAAGCAAATGAAAATCAACTTGTTTTTTACAAGTACTAACTGCAACTTGAAATTTTTACAAACAAATCTTTGATAATAACTCTCTCACTGCCATGGGTACATATATAAGAGATGCTACACAACCTTAAAAAAGTGAGATATTAACTTGGACTTTTGTAGCACCATGAATACAGTTATTATCCTTCAAACTTCCCAAACTTTGCTAGTTTAAAGTTTCAGTAATGAAATATTAAAATATGTTTGTTTTTTCTGTGTATCTAAAAATAAACTTGTAAAAGAAAGTAACAGAAACCAACTGTTAACGTGACATGTCATCTAAAAACTGATACATGTCCATGATTATAAATAAATCACAAAAATATTCAGTAACATTCAAAAACTTAAGCCAAGGGAAATTTTTTTATAAGTAGTTGTTTTTATTAACTTGAGGTTAATTTACATTGAAGTTAGAATTCTCCTTTCTACTGTTATTCAGAAACAGTCCAAAAATGATATATTTGGCTACAAATGAGTTTATAATGAAAACTTTTATAGTAAAAATTTATTTAATCAATTAACCTAAAACCTTGTATCTAAAAAAATACTATCACAATTACAAAAGTCAAGTTTACTATTTGAAAAACAAGCATAATATATATATATATATATATATATATATATATATTAATATAAATACTATTTTAATGATATAGATAATTATATTAAGACTTAGAAAATGTGAGATCATTTTATTTTAAAGACATTAAAGCTTTCCTTGAAGCTTTATCCAAGCATAAATTTTATCAATGATGTAGCCATTTTAATACGAGAACAATTGAGTTACTTCATTTACAATTTTAAAAATGAACATTTACATGGAGACTAATGACTGATACTATAGGTCGATACGGTATACTTGAAATCTTAAACACAAAGTCCAGATGATTGTCTTTTAGCAGAAAAATTATCTTGATTCCATTTTTGTTTTTAGACTACATAAAATGAGGTTCAGTACTTCCAACTATAACATTATTGAAAATGGAACAAACAATTACTGTCACAAAGTTGACATTTTCTTTACCTGAAAGTGTATTTTGGATAGATACTCACCTTAATGCACACAACTGTGTAAATTCCTTGAATAAAGCTCATACCCCTACATGTGTTAACTGTAATCATCATTAAACTATAACCTTCCATCTACAGGATGGCAACACAAACTAGCACTAGCAATTGATGAGACAAACTAAAGGCACCAAAAATGGGAGGTGGTGCAAAGATGTGAGTACCTATCTATGAGATACATTTTCAGGAAAGGAAGATGTTAACTTCAAAAATGCTACTTACCTCTCTGCATCACAAAGAGCTAGAACCTCACACTGAAGATGGTGGAGGGGCCAATGCAAAGAAAGAAATTACAAAGATGAGCTCCTTTCTGAAACAGTCAGAAAAGGAAAGCCCATGCAGTGTGACACCTATGAGGTAGGGGTAGCCTAGTGGGACAGCACTTGGTCAAAGACCACATCCACCTCAAGCAGGGAATACTCTTTGCCTAAAAAAGGAGGTAGGGCAAAATATATTATCAAAAGAATCCTTTGCCAGGTGCCAACATGTTACTAAGGTTGGTGGCACATCAAATTGTTCAATTGGCTATTATCTCACAAGTAGCCAGTTGAGCATGAGCGTGTAACGTGGCTAGAGCTATAAGTCAGACTGTTATGTAGAGAAGAAATATTTACCTGAGATACCACAATAAGCAGATACAGGGAGCAGCATCCCATACCTGTCTCAGGGTGAACCTGAGGCCCAGCCGGCTGGGCCAAACCACCAGAAAAGGCTTGGTTCATAATGTAGTGGGGTGTTCTATACCAGTGTTTCCCAAATGCCCTTCCTTGGACCGGTACTGGTCCTTGAATTAATTTCTACCAGTCCACAATGTGTCTTGGCTGTTGAAAGCACTGACACTTATTTAAATTTTTTTCCATATTTAATGACTAAAAGTCACCTAAGTCCTTTTCTCTTTTTGATACATTTTAGATTCTCTTACAATGTATATTAGCCACATACGGTATAAATCTCAATAGATGTATGATGTACAATTAAAAAAATAGAAATAAATAATAAATAAATAAATACAATTTTCAATTTTTGCTATTTTTTTTTTCTGGTAACCCTTCATCTCTTAACAATCCTTGCTATCTATCAGTTCTGTATTAAAAATGTCAAAAAAACTTTATTGAAAAGTTTTAAAAAAAATATGACAGTGGAGATGATGTGAATTGAATTTTTGGTAGTTCCACACAAAAATATGACAGCTGGTATATTGAGTTTGGATGACAATGAAAATGGTAGACCTCAGTGCATAATATGTGGGGATGTACTTTGTAATAATGCTATGAAACCATCAAAACTTAAAAGGCATTTGAATATGAAGCACAATGATCTAAAAAATAAACCAAAAGAATATTTTGAAAGAAAATTTTCTGAATTAAAAGGAGAACAAAACATTATTCATAGTGTCATAAATACAAATAGAGCGGCATTAAAAGTATCTTATAAAGTGTTGCTATGCATTACAAAGGCTAAAAAGCTGTTTACAATTGGCGAGGAATTAATTCAACCTTTTTGGCAATTCACCTACTAAAAAAATTAATTCGATACCTTTATCCAATAATACAAGTACCAGAAGATTAGAAGAAATGTCTGAAGATTTTGAGGATCAGTTGTTGCAGCAAATACAGTTTTCAAAATACTACTCACTTCAGATTGACAAATCAAATGATATAACAAAGACTATGATATTAAAGAAGAATTACTTTGTTCCATTGAACTTCAATTGCATACTAAAGCGGTTGACATATTTGATGTTCTCAACAGTTATATCGTTAAGTATGGGTTGGATTGGAAGGCGTATGTCAGTTTATGCACGGACAGTGCGGAAGCCATGTAAGGAATTCACTCTGGTGTTGTAGAAAGAGTAAAAGCAGTTGCTCCCAACTGCATAGAAACTCAATGTTTTATTCATCTTGAAATGTTAGCAACAAAGAAGATGTCCGTTGAACAACACAATCTTCTTAGTGAGACAGTAAAATTCTCCTAAATTCTCGTTTATTTTTACTGTTGTGCGAAGATGCAGGAGCTGTACATAAACAGCTACTGCTGCATACAGAAGTGCACTGGCTTTCACAAGGCAAAGTATTATCTTGTATATTTGAACTTCGAAGGGAAACTAGAAAAAAGGCCAGAATGGGCAAAATTCTTCCAGGATACAGAGTAAATTGCTGAACTAGCATATTTAACTAATATATTTTCTATTTTAAACAAACAATCTTTCACTACAAGGTAGTATGTCTTCAATTTTTCAAATGACTGACAAGGTACATGCTTTCAAAAAGAAACTAATGCCATGGAAATGAATAATATTAAAAGGGTGTTATGATATGTTTCCTAATGTCACCTTTATTGTTGATGAAAGTAGATAAAATATCTATGTTCAAAATATAAATACTATCATTATTCACCATCTAACCTCATTATCCGAGCAGTTTCTTATTTTCTGAATCCAAGAGTGGCAAGTAAAAGCTGTGGTCATAGGATTGGTTGTCATCAGGCACAGTGCCAAAACAATGTGCCATGTTTGCTACACTCACCACAGATACATATATCCATGTACGTAAATGAAATGAGTTAAAGACTTACTTCTGAGCCCTAGGGGGCTCCAAACAAATATAAGCCTGGGTATGGTGAAGGAAGTGGAAAGTCCAGGATCGTGTGAAATTGAGTGAGCCACCATGACTGCAAGAGGTAAAAAAGAAGACAATGTATCTCTGGAGATAATTTTACTAACAGGAGAGAAACCACTGAAGGAATATCCAAAAGGAATGAGTGAATCGAGAGAGAGACATGCAGGAAATGAAAGAGACATGGTATTAGAAGCTCCATGTCACAAAGACAAAGAAGTAGCTGAATCTGTTCTGTATACAAAGTGAGAGAGACCCAGAAGGGTGGGGGTTGACACTAAATTGGAGAATCTAATCAGCCACCCAAAACAAGATGAATTCCAAAGGAGAAGGAAGGTTGCAACAGAGGAAGCCATGATGGAAGTGGCAAGTAAAGGCCAAAAGTGCATAAAATAGTGAAACAACAGGCCCCAAGAATGTAACCACTGAGTAAAAATGCACTATAGCCTATGAAAAAAATATGGAGACATAGCCAACTCAATAGAAAAGACTGAGAATCACACATTTGCCCAATGCACTAAAAGAAAAGGAAGTGAAAAGCAGGCAGACAAATCAGGATGTGAAGAAAGTGTTTGAGACCCACAGACTGGGGCAATTTACCACTGGGGAAAGTATTCACTGAAGAGGGAAAAAACTGCCCATCAGGAACAGGAGAAAGACCAAAGTTGGGCCAAGTGGAACAGATTGATATCTGGCCAACAACCTCATATCTTAGTAGGACTAACAAAAGAGTCAGGAGTAAATCCCAGATTGGAAATGAGGAAGTGTCATATGGCATTTG